TACATGTAATAAGACAACTGTTAACAATACTGATACGGATGATGCGAATAATACATATGATATTAATAATACGAAACAGGTTAAAACTAAAGCCACTAAGCATGACTACTCATATGACATAATAATAATACGGATACTGACATATAGGAATGATAACACGAATGCTAATATTACAATAATAGTAAAGAGACGAAGGCGACGACAACTAACAATAATAGTCAGAAAAACAATAATAATACGACCATTCATACAACTATGACTAAATCACTGATAACAATGAGGACAATAATAACACTAAGCATATCACTAATACTTAGACGAATAGTACGAATAATAAGACGACAAGAAATCGAATATGATGATGATGCTGATGATAATACTGATGATGCTGCTGATGATGATGATGCTGATGATGCTGATGCTGATGATGATGATGCTGATGATGCTGATGATGCTGCTGTTGATAATGATGATGCTTCCTCGGCTCCCCGGTCTGGTTCCTTGCATTCCTTTCTCCCCTCCCGTCTTAAAAAAACCGCAGCTCCTGACGACCATGACCAATCGCTCCTGCCAGGTTCTTGAAACAGCTCTCTATGGGCCACTTCAAGCGCATGACCGCATTCCTGAAATCCTATTCATTCGGCACCATGAACATGGGTGTTGATGCTGCAGCACCGGTGATGTGTGTTCGGTCCACTCTGATCCTCCTTCCCGAGACCCCCAACGCCATGATTTTTTCATAACGGCGACCCCCAGAGGTCTCGACCCATTCCCTTGGACCGGTTTTTCATCGCGAGCCGTTTTATGACGGTCCCGAGGCCCGGCGAGGGCCCCCAGAGGCCAAAAATCATAGGAACCTCCCGCCGTGATTTTTTCATGACCCGAGGGGGTCTGGGCCCCCTGTCCTTTCCTTTCCCTTCTACTCTGACCCAGCCCAGGGGCTCGGCCGAAGCCCGCAGAAGGCCCGCGGCAGCCTGCGGAAGGCGCGACCGCGGGCGGCGCCGCCGGCGAAGCTCGGCGGACGCTGGCGGAGGCAATGGGTGGACCTCCCCAGGAGAGGCCAACGGGCCAACGACGGCGCCCTCCCACTCACCTCCTCCTCCTCCTCCTCCTCCTCCTCCTCCTCCTCCTCCCCCTCCTTCTCCCCCTCCTCCTCCTCCTCCTGGACCTCCCCAGGAGTAGCAGGCAAGGACGCCAGGCGCCCGAGCGGCGCAGAGGCAGAAAAAGTGGCTCTCATCATTGCGCTCAGGATCATGTGCAGGGAGGAGGGGGGCGAGGACGCGAGGAGGGAGGAGAGCAAGCGGAGACAATCTCATAATGCATATGGGGGGAACGCATGTTGCCCACTGCAGCTTCGGGCGTCCGCGTTCGTGCTTGCGGTGCCAGTGCCTTCGTGCCACTGCCACTGCCCTCGCGTCCTCGAGTCAGGGGACAAACGGGTGGAACCCCTTCGTTTTCGACCCCGTGTTCGCCCCCCCCCCGCCCCCCCTTCCCCCCAGACTCAGAGTTGGCGTCCGGCCTGCTGGAGGACCAGGGGGTTCCACTGTTTCACTCCGTTCGAGCCTGTGCTCCCGAATGCCCAGGGTCAACTCTGAATACGGTGGGGGCGTTGGTCAAGGAACGTGCCCAGGAGGCTGCAGACCTGCAGGCTTCCTCATCTGATGAGGGCGGCGGTGATATCCGTGGCCACTCCACGATTGGCTTCCCACGGGCGTCCAGACCCTGGATTCCTTATCGAAGGCTTCCTTGTCCAATGCCATCACCGCAGAGGGGGGGAGCCCAGACATCAAGCTGCTCCAATTTTTTTTCCATGCGTGGGCCCCGGAGGTCCGGACCTTTTCCCTATAGGGCCGGTTTGTCGTCCCGAGTCGGCTTCTGACGCTCCCGAGGCCTGGCGAGGGCCCCAGAGGCCGACAGCGGCGCCGCCCGCTCCAATTTTCTAGAGCGGCGGATCTCTGGGAAGGCGGAGCGGAGCGGAGGGTTCCATGTTTTTCAAGGGAGGACAAGCCATCTGGACTGGACAATTGGCCTTTACCATACGTCCTTGGGCGTTGACTAAACAGCCTAGTCCTGTTTGATTCCTTCTGTGCGCGCGCTTGCTAAACGGCTTCGCGTGTCGGGGTGGTTATTTTCGGGGTGGATTTTCTGCCCTCTAGTTTTGTCCATCTACTACGGTCCCCTTCCCCCTGGCCCCGCCCCCCTCCAGGGTAGGGGAGGCTTTCCGGAACGAGAGCGTTCCGGAACGCTCTGAGAAGGCCGCGGCGCCCGATCCATCCTCCAGAGCCGCCAGATCTCAGAGATTCTCGATTTAGCTTCTCCCGAATTTATCCTCGACCTGGCTTCCTCTTAGCCCCCCCTCCTCCTGCCTCCCCCCTCTAGCGGGAGTTGCTGAAGGTGCCCCTGGCCGAAGGTGCTCCCAGCTTTTCGCTCGATTTTGGAGCCCCCGGGGCCCTCTGGGCCTCGTGAGGGGTGCCCTGGAGGCCGTAGGGGCTTCCTTGGAAATCCTAAGGGGTATCGCGGGCTGGAGGCACTTCTAGCCACACCCGAGTCCAGCGCCGCCAGATCTCAGAGATTCTCTCGATTCATCCTCTCCCGGAGTTATCCTCGACCTGGCTTCGTCTCAGTCCTCCCCTCCCCCTGCCCCCCCCCCCTCCAAGGGGCAGGGCAGGCGGTCCGCCCCTGGCTGGGGCGCCCCCGCCGGGGCAGCACGCGGCGGCGCCACAGGTGCTGCGCGGCGCGGCGCCCCCGCCCGTCGCCCTGGCGCAGCAGGCCGGCCGCCCGCGCCACTCGCGCTCCCAGCGCTCTCCGGCGCTGCCCCAGACCTCCGAGGAGGCGAGGGAGGAGGCCTCGAGTCGAGGCTCGAGGTTCGACGCTTTCGGCCGCTTTCGTGGGTTCCTGGAGGTTTTTGCTGGCCCGGGAAGCGCCGCAGCAGCTGCGCCTCGCCGAGAGCCTTCCAGGGGTGCCAGGATCGTCCCGAACGGCCGCCGCAGGCCGGAGTCATGGCCCGAAAGCCCAGACCTCCGAGGATTTGAGTTTCCCCATCCTGTGTTGAGTTGGGCCCTCGTTTCGAATCAGCGGCGCTGTGCGGCTTCCCTCCCTCCTCCTCGCCCTCCTCGTCCTCCTCGCCCTCCCTCCTTCTCGCCCTCCCTCCTCGCCCTCCTTCCTTCCCTCCCTCCTCCTCGCCCTCCCTCCTCCTCGCCCTCCTCGTCCTGGACCTCCAGGACGGCCGCCTCCTCTGTGAGAAGCCTGGAGAGATCGAGGGCCGCGCCCTTGCTGCCCTCGGGCGCCGCCGCAGCATCTGCCGCCGCCGCCTGACCTGCGGGGGCGGCCTGGCGTACGCCGGCGCGGCCTCGATGTCGGCCGCCGCTACCTCGAGGATGGCCTCGTCCTTCTCACGCTGCTTGCACGCTAGCCTGTCCTCCGCGTCGGCGACGTCCTGGATGGAGGCCTCGGTGCGCCGCAGCCGCGCCCGCGCCTGGTTGAGCGCCACGCCGGGGTGCTCGGGCTGCGGCGGCGGCACCAGGGCGAGCGCCAGCTGGTCGACCTGGTTGCAATGGTTGGGATGGGAAGGCGGTAAGGGTAGGATGTCAGATGTGGTGCGAGCGCACCTATCTTGTCCCTCCCCCCTCTCCAAACCCCTCCCCCTTGCCCTTCTGTGTCCGAACGAACACAGGCGTACGTGGCCCTGGGCCAGCCGGAGCCCCCCAACACGGCCCGCACCCAGCAGCCGCCCGTCCCCAGCCCGCTGGGCACTGGCATCGCGCAGCGGCAGGAGGGCGGTCTCGTTTTCTTCCTTATCTCCTTCTCGGAGTGGGGAAGAGGGGGAAGGACGATGGAGCAGGTGCAAGGAGGATGAGGAGGACGACGAGGAGGACTCAGGAAGACAGAAGAAAACGAGGAAGGATTACCGAGCACGGGCTCGGAGGAGGAGGAGGAGGATGAGGATGAGGATGAGGATGAGGATGATGACGCTGCTGCTGCTGCTGCTGATGATGATGATGATGATGATGCTGCTGATGATGATGATGATGATGATGCTGATGATGACGAGGAGGATGATGATGATGATGACGATGATGATGACGATGATGATGATGCTGATGATAATGATGCTGATGATGATGAGGAGGAGAAGGAGGATATTCCTGAATTGCCAGTGTGCGTTTCAGCTCATGTGCCCCTGTTTGGTATGTGCGGTGTAGCATTTCTGTACTGACACCTCAGGCACTCGCCGCTATTTACATCGCCGTGATGAACGTGATTATTGTTCTTGGGTCGCAGTGACCCCAATTTGGCGGAATAGGCGGAGCAGGTGGGTAATATGTATTCCGCGTGGGTGTGTATCCTGTGTGATAATTTATTCCGTTTGGGGCGGAGTAGGCTTCGGTCCTTTTCTGAAATAAGCAACCTGCCGCATGCATGCTAGGAACTTTGAGAGGGATGGCAGGTGTATGCTTCATGGAAAGATGATGAAGCTGTTGTCACCGCTGTGTATGCGCCAGATGTGCAGAGGAGGTATCATGATGACGAGGAGAGAGAGAGAGAGAGAGAGGATGATGCAATGGCGGAGAGAGATGCGGCTGATGATGACGGCGATGCAGTTGAGGATGACGAGGATGACAATGCTGTCGATGATAACGGGGATGCGGCGGAGACGACGACGAGAAGATGGAGGACCTGGGGGAGCGACCCCCCTGAGGTCGACCACCTCAAGCAAGTCCTCAAGACTCCTGCGGGCACGGGGAGCTGGTGTGACCTGGTGCCGCGCAGGCAACTTTGAGTCTCATGGCGAAGCACTCGAGCTGCTCTGCCGGCTCATCTCCATGATAGAGCACCAGGTCGAGTGGCCTCCGAGGACCACGCGCATCGTTTTCATCCTCGAGCGGCTTGGAGGTTCCAGACCGCTCGGGCTTTTGCATTGTCTCTGTCGCGTGCAGGCTAGGATCAGGCGCAACATATAGAATTTGCGGCAGACGGCTAACTAGAGATGTTTCTGGTGGGCTGTCCGTGGAAAGTCCGCCGAGTTTTCAGTGTGGCTTCAGGCTGGCTGCGCTGAGCATCACAACGACACTGGTAGTGATTTGGCCACGCGTCTTGTCGACCCGAAGAACGCTTTCGAACTCCTTCGGCATTAGCACGTACGCGCCGCCGCTGTTAAAACGAACTGTCCTCCTTGGCAGCCTAAGCTGCTTGTGCTGGCCTGCAGAGCTAGCTCCACGCGCGCTTGACTTGCAGTGCCTCTGCCTGTTCGGTACGTGCCTGTTGCAGCCCATGTCGATAAGACTACTGAGTGCTGTTCGACAGGAGTACCCGATTGTGCCTACCGCGGTATGCGTGGACAATGTGAGCCTGCAGAGGTGTGTGAGGGGGGTGCAGCGTGCTGTTGATGATGTTTCGGGAGCAGGGTGTGTGTGTGTGTGTGTGTGTGTGTTGAAACATGAGCTGCGACGTGTCGACCTGGTCGTTGGTACTGGTAAGTTACGTGTGCTTGCCAGCAACCTTGAGCTGCATTCGCAGCTCCACAGGCGCTTATCATGTGTCAAGGCCGTTGGAGTGCACTCGGAACGCACCCTTGGTGCTGATTTTCCCAGTGCGCGAGCCACCCGAAGGAGCACGCGCGCCGCGCGCGTACAAGTTGCAATCAGAAACCAACACGATTGAGTCATCTTCAGGGAACACATAGTAGAAGGAAAGCGTTGCAGCATTTGGCGCGAGCTTCGATCGAGACGTTGGTCACGTTTGGCACGGCTGTTCAGGGCACCCGCCAGGCGGAGTTGGAAGCTCTCAGGACCATGGCTGCCGCCGCGTTGAGCTCGCGAGTTGCTGGGAGACTCAAAACCCTGACGTTGATGTTCGCCCCTAGCTCTCGCATGGGCCCCATTTACAGAGCCACGCTGGAGCCCGTCAAAGCCTTCATGCACGTGCTCTGAAAGAGCCTGATGCTGCTCAAGACAGTGGAGAACGGGATTGCTGCTGCTGCGAGGCCGGGCTCTCATGTGTCCCCCTGGCAGGTCATCGAGGGGCCTTTCTCCTCGGCGCTTTGGGCCTCCCTGCGCAGAGTCGGTATTGACGCCGGCAAGCTGCATGCTCGGGATTCCTAGCGGGCAGGCAATCAGTCCGATTCTGCTTTGCCCCAGGGCCTTTTGTGGCTTTGGTGGGCAGGGCTGCCGATTCCTGGCAAGTCCAGCAAGTGTCCGAACAGTTTGGCGCCCCCCGAGTTCCTCGAGGGGCTCTGGGTCGAACCGTTGCGCGAGCTGTGCAGCTCCAGGATGCCGTCGGCCCAAGTGGCCGCCCACCCTCGGCCCGTCGCGATCGGGGCCCAGCGGCCCCGAGCCAGACGGCACGCCCAGGGCAGGATTCCAGATCCAGGTTTCTTGCCAAGAGGGTGGTTGCGCGATTGTGCATCGTCGTGCCCGCTGCTCGATGATGTATGAACTTGTGTCGCCTGTCCCTGAAAGTGCTGCTGAGCTGACAGCCTGCGCGCCGAGCATCAAACCAGTCGAGATCTTGCTCGAGCTGGCTGTGATTGCTCGGCCTCCTGTCCCGCCTGACCTCGCTCAGCATCCGAGGGGGCCGTATTGCAGGTTGGGCGGGTGGGGGCGCAACCCCATGGGCCTCGCGGGGTGCGTGTTCCTGGGCTTGTCCCTGTATGAGAACCTCCCGCTCTACCTTCTCACGGCCTTTGCGCGCGTGGCGCTGCAGCCGCATGCCGAGGTGTACTTTGCTGTGCTCACGTTCTTTCTTTTTTGGGCCGCACCAGGACTGTGATAGTGCCGAGCTCTACGCGCTTCTGGCGGCGCTGCTGTATGGAGTCCCACCGCTTAGAGTTTGTTCCGGCTCCAACTTCGTGGTCTTTGGTGTCAGTTTCCTCGGGGCAGCACGCGCGACCGACCCTGGATTTGCCTGGGCCCACCTCTGGTGGCAAATCTGGGAAAAGCTCAGGGACTGGGGCGACCTGGTGGTTGTGCCAAGGTTATAGCGCGCGTCTCCAGGACCCAGGTGCTCGAGGGTGTTCGGTCTGCGAGACTCGCATATGGTAATCGATGTGCCGATGAGGAAGCCAAGGTCAGAACATGCAATGGACGGCCCACCCTGCGGTTTCAGCAGCTCGCGGTACAACATAATGAGTTCTTGAGAAAATAGAGGCTTGAGAGTCTGAGTGGCGCAGGTAGGTACCGCGCTCTCGGGTCATGGCACCGCACCAGGCGTCCTGTTTCAGATGTGCAACCCTCCCTTTCTATTTTCAAGCCCCCTGCGCCATCTGTAACGCAGCGGGCCGAGCAAGCGCAGGATGTGCTGGGAGCTTAAGGGCTCCAAGCTCACAGTCTTAATTTTTTTACTGTCCCCGCCCATTCTGGGCCCTTGGTGGTCGTCTGCCGCGGCCTCTGCGGGTCTTTTGCTGCAACTACTAAACGCCTGGTCTCCCTGTCGGCCCCTTGCCCCCTTCGTGTCCTGAAGTGGGACAAACCGGTCGGGACCAGACTTGCGTAATGCAGATTG